ATGAATTTGTTCGTTAGGTTATGGCATTTAATTTTTAAAACCAGACTTCTAAAATTAAAATTGCTTCAAATATTACTCTACTACTATTATTATTACTATTGCTATTATTGTTGTTATTATTATTACAACTGTTAATTTATTTAACGCGATTTTTTTTCGATTTTTCGATTAAATCGATTAACATCCCTAGAATGGCATTAAATGAATGGCCGGAATTATAGAATTTAGTGGTAAAGTTAGAAAAAGACTTGCTTCTGTATATGAAAAAGTATACAGAGAAAAAATAACCATGAAAAGAAGTTTTACGTAGGAAGAGTATTATTTATGACTTTTGTACAATCGCCATTCACTTTACGGAAAAGAAGCAATTACTCCACCACCAGAAGCTAAGTTGATAACAATTCCAAAACAAACTATTACAGCAGGCCATGACGACAATGAATATAAAGATGATGACGGTGATGAATATTACAACTTGAGTAAAGCATTTGGATGGGATAATGAGTCGCCTAGAAGAGAAATCAATGTTGAATCTTTTAAAATCCATTCAAGACCAGTGACTAATGGAGAATATCTTGTGTTTATGAGAGCAACAGTTAACAAAGAATATTCAGGATCATGGATTCCAATTGATCCACAATTCTTTGAATATAAAGTTGGAGCAGTTAAAATGAATGTAGCACTGAATTTGCCTGGTTATGCTAAGTCAAGAACAAGCATGTAAATACACAGGATGGAAAAAAATGAGACTACCAACAAAAAAAGAATTAGTCGCATTCTATACAATATATAAGTCACCATCATCACTAATGGATTTATCAAACACGGATTCAAAAATTGGTGTCCAGTTGATGTGCCAAGCAATAGTGATCTAATTCAAGCATTAAGATCTGGATGGGAATGGAGATCAAGTGAATTTGATAAATATCCAGGGTTTAAATAAGTAAAATTTACCCTAGTTATTCAAAAGATTTCTTTGATTGTAAACATGCTATTATTTTGGTGGCTCATGGCAAGCAAAATATATATTTACATTTTATATATTATCAGAACTTTGCACAAGTCTGAAAAATACTATATAAAATATATAGACCTTGGCTCGTTCTGGCCTCTGTGTGTGTATCGGCTTGTGCATGAGGAGCATTATATATAATATATATTTATTACTTTTATTATTTTTTTTTTTCAAAAATAATAGGGCAACACATCTTAGATTAACAAAAAGTACATTTAGAAATTGGTATCAAAGGGGTTACCCGTATGTATTTTGCACAGTAAGATTATGTCAAATATAAATATATCTATCTTTATTATTTCTATCTATTTTTTTGGAAATATATAATAAACAAATCGTATTTACTGATGATTTATCTATTATTTCTATTATTACAAATTAATATTACAAATTCTAAATAAATAATGTTTCATGTAAAAGTCATTGTTATTATTACTACTAATATTTATATATTATTATTATAACTACTAATTGTTCTGGAAGCATAAAAAATGCTATTATCTACATTATTATTAATTGATTTAATTGATGATGATTTTCTTTTGAAAGGATTGAATGAAAAAGTTTTAGGATTATCAACTTGATCTTTTGACAATGATTGTTCTTCTGATAAGTAGATTTTTGTCTTATCATTATTAAGATTTCTATTTATTTCACCTTCACTAATATTAATATTAACATTACTATTAACATTCCCACTTGGGTTACTAACATTACTGTTTATATTACCATCAGATTTTCCGATAAATGTGTTGTCAACTTCAGTTTCAACCATTTCTTTAAATACTGAAAAGGTAGTCGGAGTTCTTTTCAATATAACATCTGAAATGGTTGTAGCAGAATTACTAACATTTATTGATGATTGTCTTGTATCGTTCGCAATATTATTATTGTTGTTATTATTATTAATATTATTATTATTATTATTATTATTATTATTATTATTATTATTATTATTATTGTTATTGTTATTGTTATTATTATTATTATTATTATTATTATTATTACTACTACTACTACTACTAAAGTTTGTTTGATCAATTGTTAAATCTTCATTATGTTCGTTGTGGTTATTTTTTTTTTCAACTATAATACTTATTATTTCATCTTTATCTTGAACCTTTTCGTCATCTTTAATTTCTTGTTCATCATTTGAAAATGTACTTGTGTTATTATTACAATTACAATTACAATTACAATTACAATTGTTATTATCATCATCATTTACCGATCTTTTAGTAGTAGCATTAGAAGATGTCGGTTTACTTTTTTTCTTTTTATTTTTTTTTCTATTAAAAATATTCTCCCATTTTACACAGCAACATAAAAAAGCTATTAAGATAAATCCAAGTACCACTAATACGATTGGTATTAACCACGGTTTTAAGACTTCTTTTGTAATGTCTATCGGATCTGTTAATTGTAATGTTGATTGCGGAGTTGTTGATGTTAATGAAGAGGTTGTCGATGGTGTTTGTGATATTATTGTTGAAGAAGATAATGTTGATAATGTACTAGTATCAATGCTAAATTATATATACATGTGTGTATGTAAACAAATATATATTAACATTTTAATTATCTAATGGTGATAACGATTATTATGATACTTACAATCTTTTAATTTTATATGGAGACATCTTTAGTGTCTTGGTTGTAAGTATTGGAATAATGAATGAATTAGATTAGTGAAGGGTGAAATTAGAATTAGCGAATGAATGAACTAATTAATAGTAATGGCAATAGTATTTTTAATTGTTGCAATAATAGTAACAAAATTGAGATATAAATCATTTTTATTGAAGATCTCTATCTATTCATCTACAAATTTATATAAATTAATGAATTAATAATGCGTAACATACATATTTTGAAACCAAATTTGTTTTGAAACATTTTGCATGTGGAAAATATGGAAACAAAAGACCTTTATTTGGGTCACCATTACTGCGATTTGTAAAAAAAATTTTTTTTGATCTATTGATATATTTTTATCAAAAAGTTAATCTTTTTTAAACCTTTTTTATGTTAATAAACCGGGTTATCACCATTATTGGATTTTTTTTTACAAATAATAATAATTGCAAAAATTTGAACGAAAATTATGTTATTTACTGTGACACCAAAATATTTGTATAAAAGAAGCAAATTTTTCAAATAATCATCAAATTAAACTATGGAATCATTAAAACCCCAAACACAAAATTCATCATCTAAAATTAATTCCACGCCATTATCCTCGTCTTATAAAACGACAAAGCGGTCGATGATATTACATCCTCCAACTTTAATAACAGTCAAAAATCCAAAAACACAAACACCCTTTATCTTGGAATACTCGATTCACAAAGGATCTACAAGGTTCACAAGAGAATTGAAAAATATTTTCCCCAAAAATATTAAGGAAATAGAAAATTGCTTAATTTTACCTATATTTTTAAAATGTCACAATGATTTAGTTGGCGTTGGAAGTCAAATTGACATGGAAAAAGATGAGAGATTGGAACATGTATATTTTTTTAAAAATTAAAATTTTTCTATTAATTTAATTTTCCTTGCATCTAATGATTAATTAATTATTTCTATTTATTGTTAATTAATAAGTTTGTCGAATGGGGAAAATTTGTTTGCAAAAGATTAAGAGAAAGAGGTTATTGGGCAGATATAACAGATCCTGCGTCTGGCTATCCCGTAAGTAGAATCAAAATGAAAAAAAAGGAATTCATATATTTATCAATATCAAAAGAATAACAATTTATTTTTATATAAAGATACTTTCTGAAGCTGGTGTTTCTACATATCCTGATGTACAAGGATCATATGAGTTATTAAAATATGATGTCTTGAATGCGGGTTGTTGTAGTATTTTATTACATCCAAATTGGGGAAGTAAGGTTTATCCTGGAACTTTATTCACAGACTCTAATCAGGATGATATTATAGAAGTAGTCAATCTATCTTTAGAAAAAAATATTTTATAAAATATTTTATAATAAAAAAAGATTATCCAAGCGCGCTATGATGACAATTATGTGTAGTATTGTTGAACTATACTTTATACTTTAGGGTCGTTTAACAATTTAGATGTTGAATGAGATTAACCTATTTATTATCCACAAGTATAACTATAAAAATTATATACATTATATATATTGTCTTCAAGGAAAGCATCAAGCGAAACTAGTTGCTCGATTGTTAAAAATTATGCCCACCGATCTATTCACCAGGTTAGAACCAAAATTCTTCGTCCCAAATATCTAAACGAACTCTCTCTTGATTTGAGGACCAAGTGGGCGAATAAGGTTCTCAAACTTTCAACCAATTGCTTGAAGATAATTTGGGAGTTTCCCAAATACAAAAAATAAAGAGTGAAAAAATGCACAACTATATTTTTAATTGATCCTTGGAATAGTATATATAACCTATACAATGTCATATTTATGCTTGTTATTTTGATATAAAAATAAATATACAAAAATTTTATTACATGCATAGGAAAAAGTTAATTTTATACAATAAATTTCAAACCCCCCCCCCCCGCCTAGTTTACAATAATATTATTCTATGATTCCATGACACAAATCTCTAGCAGCTATGGGATATTCAAGCTTTAATAAATCATCTGGTCGTTCAATAAACTGAATTAGCATACCCATTTCAATATGCCATTTAATATGACAATGTAATGGCCAAACACCAGGATTGGTCGCATTAAATCTTATTATAAAATACTTGAACGGAGGTACACTTGCAGTATCACGAATTACTGGATTTTCAAAATTGTAACGTGTGGTTTCATTAAAAGTTGGTTTTCCATCTAAAAGATATCCTTCAGTTATAATTCCAAATTTATGACCATGAAGATGAAAAGGATGTTGAGCCCCGTTGTCGTTTACGATTATTACATCTACAGTTCCATTCGAAGCAATCAGGTATTTATTCTCCGATTTTGCCAATTCTCGAGGATTTATTCCATCAAAAAGTTTTTGAACAGTGGGTAAATTAAGATGTGGAATAAATGAAACATTGTTAACGTATACTAGACTGACATTTTGTAGATTAACACCAAATTTAAATTGGAAATTAAAAAGACTTGTTGCAGGTCCTGTAAAAGACGGAAGATCTTTTTCAATTTCTTTTGATGGTCTTAATTTTTCCCAAGATGGATCTTCACATTGAAGAAAATCATTGTCATAAGGTAACATTTCGCTGACTGGAGTTTTCAGTGGAGCATTATCATACTGAATTAATGCTGTGACATTATTATTGATTGGTGAATCGAAATTAATTGTTTGGTTGTTTGGAGTTACGAGACATTCTGCTGCACGATTTGCACGCATCCAATAAGTGTCAACTCTTTGATCTGCTTTGACGATAACAGAATATCGTTGAGCAACATTTAAGTAAAGATGACTGACATAATTTGGTTCGACATAAGTTCCTTCAACTTCGATTATTTTAAGAAGATGGCCGTCAATAGAAAAGGTGAATGGGGATTCAGCACTATTTAATCCAAAACAAATAAAATAAATAAATAAATAAATTTTTTTTCAGAAAAGAAAAATCTTATAAAACAACACATAACTTACCTAAAATTAATGATACGAAGTCGATAAGTTTTACCTTGCTCAAAAATAAATCTAGATATACCATTTTTAGTGTCACAATTTTCTTTTTCTTTTTCTTTTAATTTACTACAGTCTATTTGAGTTGCACCATTTATAAGACCTGCATCAGGTACTGGATTGAAGCCTGTATAATTTGGTTGTAATCTAAGGGCTATCAATTTACCTGATTGAGTATGGAAATGATCGCTGATATTAATGATAAATTCTTCGTCATATTCATTAATATATGGATCCTCGGGGTCGTGGACTATAAAGGCTCCAACCATACCATCTACAGCCTGAGTGGAAAAATGACTATGATACCAAAAAGTCCCCTTTTGACTACCAGTTTCGAATTCATAGGAATAGCTTTTTTCATTTGGAATTGGACATTGCGATATGCCAGGAACGCCATCAAACCAATTAGTTCCCGTCTGAAATAGGCCATGCCAATGAATTGTACAGTGAGCTCCAATTGCATTCGTCACATTGACAATAATTTTATCTCCTTTATTTACATGAATCGTTGGACCGGGATATTCGCCATTTATGACTGTCATTTCCCGCATATAACCATCTGGAGCTAACATTTTATTGGCCACATTAAAGTCATATTTACGGATTTGTGTTCCATTGTATTCTAAAGGTTTTTCTGCAATAAATGTTTTTTTAATATTTATGTATCCCGAGGATTCTTTTGAGATTATCGCAGCATTTGTAAAAATATCTACTATCGATGTTAAGATTGTTGTAATTATGAATATCAAATTAATTGTTTTCATTTTTGTCTTTAATTTATTAAGAAACTAGTTGTAAAAAGGTTTTCAACGAAACTAAATAAAAAATTATCTTTTTTAAAAGCATTATTTATATTTCTTTTATATTTATTATCATTATATTAAATCCTATTTAAAGAAAACCATTAAAATTATCATCTTTATTCATTTCAAATTAAAAAAAAGTTTTCTCAAAAGATTACTTAAAAACAATTTAAGAGAGCATTATATTTAGAACGACACTATCTATAAAAATAATAATGACCAATCATAATATCTGTGATGACGATCTACGCGTCAGGTCAAAACAGTTTTTGGTCAAAGATGTTTTTAAAACAGGTTTGATCATTAAAAATTCAAAATTTTGAAAATTACGCAAAGGAAACGTTAATAAGATATTTTATTATATTAAAATTATCATATTAATATTAATTTATTTTCTTAAAAATAATTTAAGAAAGGTGAGAAATCCTATTGGATTTCGATAAAATTTATTAAAAAATTTTGAAATCGGCCATTTTCCGGTTACACGCGTGTAAATTTTAGATTTTGACGATGGATGCCATCGTTTTGTTTTTATTACATTAGAACCTGTCTAAAAGCATATCGTATATAACATAGAATTTTCTCGGTCCGAGTTGGGCCATATGTGTTATAAGCATAATCACGTGTATCAACAAAATTTCTGTGTAAAAAATTGACCAGGCCTTTTTGGGAATAACTAAATATTTAAATATTTAACAATTGCTTACTTAAAATATAAAAGAATAGATCTTTTTTTATATAAAATATGTATGTGTTAACTGATTTTTTTATTAAAGAAAAAAAATCATTGAATTTTGTGACATATAAATGCAAAACCTGCCGACAGTATGCTATATACAGGTTCTATTGTATTATTAGATTTCCATGTGGTTGTTAGTTCCTATATCGTTATTTTTATTTTTATTCTATTTCTATTATTAGATATCCATTATTATATCTCTATTATTATCGTTATTTGTATTTTTATTCTTTATAAAATATTCATCAGATGCGCAGTATATTCCGTATGTCACACGACTAATTTTGCCCCAATGATAGTCACAGGACATGCTGACAAGGCTTTCGGTTCACTGGACAAAAACCTTCTTAATGCCAATTTCGCATATAGCTTTCTTTTGTTCCATATAAATTTTTTGGTTGTCTATTGTTTTTTGCATAAATAAAAAATTATAAATGATTGACCATGTTTGTTTGTTAAATGGCTTAGTAAATTACCCCCAATACAATACTGAGCTCATTTAATGCCAAACAGTGTTTCAATCATATTTTCGTATAGAATTGTAAAGGTATTTTGGTACAACCCTTTTATCAGATCAATAAAAGTAATTCGATTTTTATCTTGATATATTTTTCATTTGGTAATTGTTTTTCACATATCCAAATATAGTCAAATTTCTCATTTTCATTGTTACAAAAAAACACTTCCAATTGTCGTTATATAAATCTGGTCTTCGTAATTCGAGATTTCAATCATCTATTAGTTTTTTAACTTTAAAAGATTTTTTATTGGTTGAAATAAACGATGTTTCATTATTTTCTTCGCCATATAATTTAACCATTTCCAAGCCATGGCCAATTAATTAGTTCGATTCCTTTGTTTCATTTTAAAAAGGTTTCGCATCTGAACATTTTTTCAAAAATAATCTTAGGAATGATTCAATTCTTATATTATTGGAAGATGAAATTTTACCATCAAACCTAATTTTACTAGTTTGTCTGTTTTTTCATTAAATAAATGCCATTGTGTGCTTTCTTTCAATAAACTGATATATCCGGTTTCTTTGATAAACCTATTAAATAAATTTACAGTAATGCCTATTTCTACATTTACAAGTCAACGGCTTATATTCGGTTTACGGTGATGATCAACAATTATAATTACTTAATTAGTATTAGTATTAGTATTATTCATTTACTTTAATTAATTATAAACCGAATTTTATCATTATAAGACGAATTTTAAAATTTATAATCATCTTAAGTTCGGTTTATCTTAACAAGATGATTTTATTAATTATGTTTTTGGTTAACCAATTTTGCATTGTTATAAAGCGAAAACCGATTTATAGTAGTTCGGCTTGACTGTACCTAATTATCCATTCCAATTCAGTAACATTATACTATATTCTATTAATTTAAAATTAATTTCATTGTCGTTAATACATTTATTAATCATATTAAAAGTGTGTTTAGGTATTATGTCGTTATTAATGTTGTTGTAATTTAATACATTTTTATAAGTGCCTTTTTGCCTTGCCAATCGTTTTAATTTAATATCATGTGATGTCGATCTACGCGTCATATTAAAAATGTTATTTTTTTTTTCCCTAAAAAAACTTCAAATATGTTTTTAAATGGATTTGATCATTTGATTAAAGCTAAAAGTCAAAACTTTGAAAATTTACGCAAAGAGAACGTTAACAAATTTTCGCTAGAATGTAGAAAAGAAATTGGATGGTTAAGTAATTATTTAGAAAAAATAATTTCTTCATACTCTCATGAACAAATCATCAGTAGTCAGGAAGAGAAACAAGAAGTTAAACAAGAACAACCATTAATAGAAAAGAATCAAACAATCTCTGACAACAATATTCTAGATATAAATTACATTAATTATAATGAAACACAGAATAAGAAAAGAAAATTTGTTGAATATATTAAAAAGGTATTATTGTTATCATTATATTATTTTATTATTTACATCTATATATGTATGCATATATAATGTATGTATGAATGAATTTGTGTATGTATGTATTATTTTGTTACAGGTTGATGATGATCCCAATAAAAAAACCAAATTTAGTACAAACATAGAAAAACCAATTGAACATGATAAAGAAAATGAGACTTGTTCAAATAACAAAGGATTATCTCAACAAGAAAATGAACCATTAAAATGGTGGTGTGATAATGAAAAAAAATTCCCAATACTTGCTATTTTAGCCAAAAAATATTTGGCAATCCCTTCTTCATCAGTTCCTGAAGGAAGGACTTTTCTCTGATGCAGGACAACAAATTACTTTGTTACGAAGATAGACTTAGCTCACAGTCTGTTGACCATATTCTTTTTTTGAAACGGAACAAAAAATTTGTTGATAATTTTTTTGCCTGTCAAAGAATAATAAAAAATAAAATTTTAAAATTTATGTTGTAAATAAAACGGAATTTATTGAAGCAACATCCAATCGTGTTTTGGACATGTGACCTATATAGTTTCTTTCAGTTTATTACTACTGTAATATGTAAAAGTTGCTAACTCATAGGCATAAAACAAATAAAGCTACTACTACTACTATTTGCAATGTAAAAATCGATTTCAAATCGATTTTTTCGATCAATTCATAATCGATTATAACCAGTAGGTCGCAATATATATATATTGCGACCTACTTACGTTAGACTGTTACCTACTTATGATTAGACTGTTACCTACTTATGATTAGACTGTTACCTACTTATTAGCTGTGACGTGTGTTTTGCGTTTGCCTCGTCATCCGAATGTCATCAGGGTGTGCAGATGGCTTGACGTGCAATTTCTATTTTTCACATCACTCGAATGACGATCATGGCTAATTTCCGTCGTCAGGTCATATGCGACATATTGTACACTGGCTTGATTGCAGGTTGATGGGCGGAGTATATATTTAAGAAGGCGTCTGATTTCTGCATTTTCAGTCTCTGCCATGCACCATTCATGATCATCGTCAACATGTGTAGACGGTCGCCTATAAGTACCACTCTTGGAAAATACCATATCTATGCCCGAACCAGGTACGTAGTGCCTTAGCTTTCTGGTTAATTCCTCTATGAGGGCCGGGTTTGAGGCATGTAGTGCCGAAATAGTATTCATAATCTTTATATGGTGCATTTGAATACCGATTAAGGATGAGGCACGTAGTGCCGAATTGTTATCCTATTTGGTAACCCGAGGATGAGGCACGTAGTGCCGAATCGTTATCTATTATGTTATCTTAGAATGAGGCACGTAGTGCCGAATTGTTATCCTATTTGGTAACCTGAGGATGAGGCACATAGTGCCGAATTGTTATCATATCCGTTGATACCCCAAAGCATAATTTTATATATTATATATCTTTCTGTAATAATTATACCTTGGGGTATCACTTTTTTTCGATACCTATTTGTATGTAACCCCAAAGCATAATTTTATATATCTTTCTATAATAATTATACCTTGGGATATCATTATATCGAAAACTTTGGGATAACACTATAGAAAACTTTGGAATAACACTATATCGAAAACTTTGGGATAACACTATAGAAAACTTTGGAATAACACTATATCGAAAACTTTGGGATATCATTATCAAACATGTATCAAAAAACGTGAACACTATTTATAATCAGAAAATGAAACCTGGGGTACCACTAATTCGAAAACTTTGGAGTATCACTTTTTTCGATACCTTGAAGTATCATTTTTATTGATATCTAAATTAGGCAACACAAAAATGGTTATCGAGGAAGCTGAGCTTCGATTCTCTGACTCATACATACCTTATATATCGGAGGTACTTACCTGAAATTTATCTTAATCAAAATCGCGCGACACAAAAATCCCTTTATATGATCCAGGTATCGGAATATTAATTTTTGATTTGAATTTTTTCTCATACTTATTGTAAGAAATGCTTACCCGAGATGAATGACTAGTTAAATGTAGCAATCTCTCTTCTCCAGAAATTACTACTTAACTAGTTTATATCACCTTGAAAGATATATAACAACAATTACGCATATTCGATAAAGGCTAAAGAGTAGGTTTTTAATTCTTTTTTGTGCGGAGTAGTAGGAATACCTAATTTAGTTTCAAAATTTCGCTTGTGTTCCAAGAACTCAGCTTCATTCATGCTTTCGCGCTCTTTTTTCTTTTTTTCTCTCGAGTTCGAAAAAAAAGTGATACTCCAAGGTATATTTAACTAATTCTCATTAATTATTTTTTTCAAATAATATAAATAAAAGGCATATTCTATAGCACTATTTATATCTAAAGAAATCGATTCTTCATCACTTTGAAGAAATTTTATAAGCTTTGTTTTTACGTCATTTTCAATTTTTTGCCAATTTGGATTGATATTATCTTGAGAACTCATTTTGTATAATAACTGTTTCATATAATTTTTAAGAATTAATAAATTTATTTAACTTCTATTTTTTCATTATCCAACGATCCACATATCCCGTAACCGCTCACTTTTCCTTCCTAACCCCCATGTACGTCTCAATACCACAAACCACATAACTGCGATAATTAATAGAATAAGACAAATATATGCCGATAGCTGTGACATCAAAGTACTCTCACGGAGTGAGGATGCTACTGCATCTGCCACAATGGGAATTGTTCCTACCCCTCCTATTGAAATCTGAGGATGCGATTCAAGCAAAGAGGGGGTATGTGTTTTAACACTATCTCCACTATAATTTTCCAGCTGTGCAAGGTAAGGAGTCATATTCGGTATTTCCTGAAGTGTATTGTTGTTAGTTTTGCTAATATCGATTTCGTCACTTACCTCGGGAATAATCTCTGTATCTACTCTTGGAGATGAGGCATAGCCTCGAATTACTGATTCCTCAGGTATAGAAGTTCTTTCATTATCAGTGTTATCTGGTATAATAGCAGAGCTAGTGTCAGTGGCAAAGCCATGAGTCTTCGACTCAAGACACATGGTATCGATTTTTCCAGCTTGATCCATACTTTTTTCACGTATAAAATATTGACTGAGATCTCTACTAGGTATATCAGATGCGATAGCGTCATCACTCCGTGAGACAGAATTCGGTATTTTTTTTTCATCTGCCTCACCGCCGATCTTGATTGGTTCTGACGATAACTTAGATTCTAAGGAGTGTATCTCTGAAGTTTTCAAGGCCAGATCATCTTTCATTTGTTTCAATTCGTCATCTTTCGAAGCCAATGCATTCTCCATATGCACCAATTCACTATTTTTCGAAACTAGAATAAAATTCAAGGCAGATAACTTGGCTCTAAGGGGGTCAATCTCAGATTCTTTCATAGACAAGTCCTTCTGAGCTGAAGATAATTTCGTCTCCAATGCCTCCATCTTAGATAAGAAATCTTTCATTTCTTTGGATTTTGTACGAATATCAGCCTCGAAATCACTAAGTGAAAGATCTTTATCAATGATACGGGATTTGAGAGTATCTATCTTTGAGCGCAGTCGCTTAACCTCATATATAAGCTGATATACATGCTTGGAGAGTTTCTCATTATTGTGACGTAATTGATCATTCTCCTTATTGGTATTTTTGCTATAATTCGAATATACCTCTTGCATATTTTTATATTCACTAGTAATTTCGGAATTGGACTTGATACTATCACGTAATGCCTCCTCGAGTTCTTGTTCGCGGGCACTACCAAGCCTATACCCCTGCCCTTGTATTTTTTTGGATTCCATACTTTTGGTATCTCGCAATGTACGTACATTAGCCATATGATTTTTTCCCATATATTCCAAAAAATAAATGCTAAGAAATAGATATATTACTAATATTATCGATATTACCGATATTACCGATAATTTTTTTTTTATATATTACCGATAATTTTTTTTTTATATATATTACCGATATTACCGATATTACCGATAATTTTTTTTTATATATTACCAATATTACCGATATTACCGATAATTTTTTTTATATTATTGATATTACCAATATTACCAATATTATCAAGATCATGCGATCTGATGCAGTCAGGCTATCATCAGAAGATTATGATTATATTATGCAATATAAAGATGCAAAATCCAAACCTCTAGATATGCTTAGAGACAAATATCCTATGTCAAATAGCCGTTTTTATCGGATATGGAAAGGGAAAGAGGTTTGTATAAACACTTGGAATTCATCTTTGGCCAATCCAGGAAACGATATTCCAATATCTGTAGTTGTGGGAGAGAAAAAAAAGAGGAAATCAAAATCCAAGTCTACTCGCATTTCTGATCAGCCTCTTATTAATAAAGATCTAGATGCAGTAACATCCTCACTCTGTGAGACAGAAAAGATAGGTGGAATTTCGGAAGCAAAAAAAGAAACTATACCACCTGTTATCTTGCAAGAGACTGAAGATGTTTTGGAATTACATAAGAGAAGCCAAAAAGATATAGAAAAGATTAGAGCAAGTGGTCGTACTCTTACCTCTAAATTATCTGTTCCTTAGATTTGTAATTTATAGCGGAGCTAGTGTCTTTGACACATATCGATCACACAAATTATTATAATACCCAATTACTTCAGAAACTGATTGAATACTGGCGAATAATGCCTTTTCAAGTTCTTTTTCACGATTTGACTTATTCTCGCAATTCATGCATTTTTTTTTAAACTCTGTATCTGTCTCTTCAGAAATAGAAGGAATTGCATCAACATGGTGTACCTCAAGCTTATTTTCAACCTTGTGCATCGTAACTGGGATGATGAAATCTTTTCCATTGCAATGAAGCTTCATTTCGGATTTAGCCCAATCCATCGCACAATCATGTTTTTTAAGGAAGGGATTACTCAATATAACCATAGACTTTTCGTATTCAATAACTGCAAAATCTAAATGAAATACACAGCCGGGAGCTAGGGTTAATGGTACATTATAAACCATTCCAATAGATTTGGTTAGGACAGTGGATGCCCCCTTGAAATAAAACGTCGTACCTTTATCAATTTTCAAACCCAATCGCTCAGCAATGTCCCTAGACATAAGTAAAGTATTTGAGCAAGAATCGACTAAAATTGCCGAAAGTACTAAACGTTTGATTTTACCCCGCACAGTCGCAATATCTATCACATCTTTATCCCGAACAAAGTTAATTTCCATATCTTCGATAACTTCTTCATCCTCGGTATTGCTTTGAGGGTGGACTTCATTTGTGGGATTAGAATTCTGGATGATTCTGCGTATAATCCCCTCCAATAAAGCGGAATTTTCAAGCTCGCTTTGGATTATCTCACGAATTCGTCGTTCTAGTAAAGTCGAAGTGGGATTTTGTGATACTCGAGGAGAAACTTGAATCTCCTTACCCTCTGAAGGATATGCATCTTTCTTGCCTTTGGATCGGGATTGTTTGTCGGATATCTTCTTAATGAGTTCTCTAGGTCGATCTACTTTTTTTTAATTCTGGATACATTAACATTTGATTCTTCACTAAGTGCATTATCATCAAATTCACCATCATCCTCTTGATCGGAAATAGCAGATTCATTAGGGGTTTCTTCCGTATCACAGCTATTATCAAATTGATCTTGTGAGAACCCATCGGCGAAATTCACACGACCAGCTCTTTTCCTAGAATTATTAACCATCATATTCTTAATTATAGAACAACTGCGATAAGTATGACCTAGCTTTTTACAAATCTCACATTTGCGTTGAGCTTGTCTAGTACTTAATCTAGGACCTCTAGCCAGATTTATTGTCGGACTTTGTGAATTGGACAACCCTTCAAGCTGATCTATTTTATTCACAACATTGATTATCGCGTAATCAATTTCCATCGGTTCAAACACTCTATTATCCTCAGCCTCAAGACCCATTTCTGCATAGTTTTTCAATTCCTCGTAGTATTTGGCTTTCTCAGTTTTGGGGCGAAAATTGCGTTGAAATGGCTGGGATTCTGGTGGTTGGAATACTGGCTGTTGAACGATTTGCTGAGGCGGTTGGAATGCGGGTTGTTGAACGATTTGCTGAGGCGGTTGGAATACTGGCTGTTGAACGATATGCTGAGGTGGTTGAAAAGTCGTTCCATTCATACTATTTGCACTTCCATAATTAAACGAAGAAGGCCTACGTTTAAGCCACAAATTTTTGAGATGAGTAAAGAATGCATTGTAATTTGCGGGATTTGCACTTTCCATTCGATTGAAAAGGTCATCAGGTAAATGATTCATAAGGAATGACAAGGCATTAGCATCGTCATCAGCAACACCCAATAATAGGGGGCGTATTCTCATCTCATATGTTTCCGGCGTATCATTAGGTAAAAATTTTTCGTAAGCTAATCTCTGGAAAGCAACTTGTTGTGATCCGACCATTTCTGTCTGATATTTATAACGTAACCATGCAATAAAACGAGCTGGAGTATCAATATTATTTCCAGCATGTTGAGCAGGTACATCTGCATATTTTCGACCAAGTCTACTTTTTAAAATAGCTACTTTATTGGCATCATTGAGATTTGTTATCGCAGGAATAGCTAGTATTGCGTGAATTTTATTATACCATTCATCGGGCTGAACCTGTCCATCATAAAATTCAACATTTGCAAGTAAAGGAGTAATACCAGTTAAGTCACCTATAGCTGTCATATTTTGCAGGTTATTCTGAAGCGCTAAAATTTGCTGATTTAAATTTATTATTCTTAGCCGAGAATCTTTTTCCTTATTTTCCCATTTTTTATGCTTCGCCTTTTGTTTGGTATGCTTACCCTTCCTTTTTACATGCTTCCTACGCCAATTTTGTAATTCAGCTTGACAGATTAAGAAGATCGAAATTATTATTCACCGTATCCAGCTGAGCCTGCAATTGTGTAATAATTTGCGCATCTTGGTGATTTTGGGTCTGAAACTGAGTCGCAAAATTATTTAACTGATTAATTGTATTAGCATCTCGCTGATATTGGGTCTGTGCTTGGGTATTTTCCCACTCTGCTATATCTCGAAGTCTATGCACAGAATCATTAACTGTAATAATCTTGTTTAGAATATCTCTCTGATTCCAAGCCGAAGTTTGTGGGTTCCGAATATAATCATCAATATGTCCATTTTCATCTAGAACTGTATCAAATATGGTACCAATCTCATTGGGAGCTGGTGGCTGAATCTGATTCGGCTGAGCCATCTTAACTATATTAAGTGAATCTTTGATTTCTGCAGATTTATTATACTTCCGAGAGGTAATTTTCGAATTTTCTTTTTTAAGATGACCACTTCCTCTTCGAGTGTAGACAACCATTGCTCTAGATCAAGAATATAACCCTCTTTTTTATCAGCATCCTTTAGAGCTAGTCTGAGGCGTTTTTGTAAATCAGATACCTGGAATTGAGTTCTTGAATTTCCTTTTCATGAGCGATAATAGTGTTATCCTGAAATGAAATGGTTTTCTTACGATATTCAAGATCCTTGATGAGACTACGGATTTTTTTCTCATTTTCGCGGTTTATATCTACTTCTTTACCTAACTCTTTGCGCAACTCCCGATTGGTACCTATCAGTTGTGAGTATGCAGGATCGGTTTGGAACTCCATGTCAAAAAATCTGATCTTGGTTTATAGTATCGATTATAACATTTCGTGATCATGGTAATGAATGTACCTACTATTATAATCAGAGCCGATGAGGAATTAAAAATTGTTCTTAGAGTAATCTATTATCACGTACCTGGTTTTTATTCAAACGCGAAACAGTTACAAAAGGCTTGTTGGAGAGAAGGGTACGATCATTTTTTCCTGCAAGATATCGAAAAGTGGTTAAAGAACCAGTATGTTAATCAAATACATCTCTTTCCACAAAAATGCAAAGCGGGGGCGGGATTCCAGAAGATATCCATTCCTAATAAAGTTCATCAGTGCGATTTATTGCCACACGGTCATGATGATCAGGATGGTGAAAAAATATACCTCTATACTTTAGTGGTAATAGACGTGGCAACTCGCTATAAAAATGGACGTTCGCTAACATCGAAGAATAGTTTAGAAGTTTGGAATGCCATCGAAGAAATTTACAATGATCCCAACAATCCTCTCACATGGCCAAAATTATTAATGCTGGATGGCGGTAAAGAATTCTCTGGATATTTTTCACGGGGAATGGAACGTTATAATGTATTTATCTGGGTCATTGATCTTTATAGTTTTGAAAGTCTAGCATTGGTTAAAAGATTAAAACGAAGTTTGGCGAAAATAATATATGATATTCAATATGCTATAGAATCTAAATTACCAGCAGGAGAGCGTTCTACATTATGGAATATGATTCTTGAAGTAATTTTTGATAATATGAACAACAGTCCTACACGATTAATCGGAATGACCCCATCCCATGCTATGATGTTGGAAAAAGTGATATCTAAACCTTCCATAAAATCCAAGAGACCGATCGGAGAAGATGAGATAACACTACCAAAGGGTGACCTGCTTTGCAATAAGTATATTATTTCGAAGGAACGTGAGAGTATGCGTGAGGCTGATTTCTTAGAATATAAGCAAAAATGAACTAAAAGAGTGTTCTTTAGCCTTTATTGCATAAAATGTTCATGGATATACCAAAAATATGACAATTGTGGCATATCAATGTAGTAATAAATAGTATTAAATCATTTAATAAAAAAATTTGTATTAGTTCATTTTAAACTTTAGTATTAGGTTCAATCCTTTTGGATTTAATGGTAACAGATCACATGTTTTCAGATCAATTTTATATATATGAGAAATAATTCGTTTTGGAGATGTGCTACTTTATGGATACTTAGCACTATCGTTTTCCATCATTTGCATCATTTACTGCTCTTTTTACATTCCTTTTAATATATTTTCAAGTTGTGGTATTGAAATTTAAGCAATTGGCCTTATGAAGTACATCATTAACATTTTTTTTGTCTTCTAACTAAATCTAAGAATTTTAGGAAAGATTGGCTATGAAATTGGTTAAAGCAACTTCATTTGAAACTTTTAAAAATTTATATCCTTGCACTACCTCATGCACGAAGGCAAGCTGGTCTAGGACATCGTTACCAACAAGAGCGCTGTCTACTTGGTTACCAGGATCATTTTCCCAGACGCGGAGTGTGTCTATACTCACCCACTTAGTCCAACTATTATCATCCCCAATTGCAACTTCAAATGTTGTTGATGCATGAACCAGGCGAGCGGGTGCTCCATATCCGATAGTAACACCTAAGACAGTTTTCCATCCTCTTCTTCCAAATATCCTACGGACATGATAAGGAAGGATAGTTTCTGGTGCACCTGAATCGAGAACAGATTTATACAACTTATTGTTTTCTGCAGGATCACGAAAATTGTAACCAAGCATAACAGAATTTGTTGTTCCTAATCTTCTAACTTGAATTCTAACCTTTATTGTAAATAAGCAAGTAACACAAATACATATTGACTATTTTGCACTAATTTTATCACAGATTTAAAACACAATAATTATTCAAAGGTCAGACCATATGTTCATTCCTAGTACGTAGAGCACACACTGTCCTTGCTGGCTGAGATTTCACAAGTCCGTCACGACGCGATTTATCAACTGGTAAATATATTGCACCAGGCATTTCATCTTCGAGGTCTTCTAGCTCTTTACTTGTATATTCTGATGTCCCGTATTTTTTCACTTCCTGTTTATACACCAACACCCAGCTGTCTTTATGTTCATCGAATGTGCCTTTATCAATATTGTCAAAGAAAAAAAGGAGGTTGAGCCCAGATTCATCATCTTATTCCAATTCAGAGTCAGTTAAGTAAAAGAAAACCGTGTACTTGTCACAATCATCCATTGAGACAGGCCATCTAAAGTTCTGACCCACACGATCTACAAAGAAATTAGTTAGAAACAGTGTAAAAGCACTGCCATATGTATTGTTGGTATGTTGTTCAGGGAAAAGTTCGGCCTTACCCAGAAACTTTTGTGATTGCCCTGGATTTTTTTCATACTTGCGAAGGGATTCAAGAGTCTCAAATGGGTTGGACATTTCTGTCGTGGTAGATGTGAGTGTTTTGGACGGATTGGATGCTGTATTATTAAGTGTTTACTTGAGAATTAAATCATTTATTTAATGACTCTGGAATGTTTTGGTCAAACTAACAATGACAAAAACCTGATGCTTTCTTTCCGATGGACTTCAAAAACTTGGGTATCTTAAATATCTTCTTTTCTGTAGATATCATTTAATAAGGTTAATTAATAACGAACAGCAAGACAGGTGATGTAGATTTAAGATATTCAAATCCAGTCATGGTACTTACGTTTCTCTTTGTCATTAAGTCTCAGGTTAGTTGTTGCAGAAGTATTAGACATGATGGTTTATTATCACTCGGATAAAACTAATGTATGAAAAAAAAGATTTTTTATGAAAAGTACGAATTGAGGATATATATTTGTAATAAAATATAATTAGCTCGTGTCATGTGCCATGTGGCACAAGAATCAGAATATTAATATTATTAATATGAAATGAACGAATTCATCATATTTTCAATGCAAGAAATCATTTGATTTAAAGGAAACAGATGAGAAAGCTATCAAAACAAGTGGTTGCTTCACAACTGCATTCGAGGCATCATGTGAAAAGTTTATAAAAATTCGAAAACAATCTTTCACTTTAAGTCTCGCACAAGAGAGATTCCAGATCTTAAATCAGCTATAAAAGCAATTAAAGCAATTGTTGGTAATTATTGTGGTTATACCATAAAAAGTAAACGACCTAAGGAACAGCGAGTTTAGGGGGTATTCATACCAAATTAACCGCCAACCATATAAGAGTATTGATTTTGGAGATAAAGGCGCACCAATGCTTCCGCTATATAAACCAAAGACAGTCAGGAACTCTTCGATGTAATAGATGATCCTGTTATCGAAGAGAAGCGCTCAAGCTCCGATTCTCATACTTTGATTGAAATAATTCAAGAAAATTCTAATTATGTTGTGAAGTAGTCCGCATGGAAAAAAATATTTATTGGCTTATATGATAATTTTGTTCAGATTTTTTTTTTGTCGTTCTATAAGAGTATTCAAAAAAATTTAAATTTAAAATAATGGAGCTCAGAGTCGAAGACACAATGTTTAGCTTTGCCAATTGATTGGATTGAGATACTTTGCGTCGAGACAAATCTCAGTTTTTTACTTTCACGCCAGACATGCTTATAAATTTCACCAAGTATTAGCTTGTCACAAACGGAACACAATTTTTTTGGGACGTGATTTAAAATGCCTGGAGCACCCTGTGCTACGCCAGCATCCTTTCCCACAGATCGTTCCATCACTCTTGATATATTGGCAGGATAGACGATGTTCCATATGAGGTAATCTTGATATTATTGTGTGTTAAGCTTTCCTTTCACTTTTTATTACAAGGAAATCGGATAAACATTTAAAAATGCGAAATATGCAGAGCATAGAGTCTCTGACTCATATGTTTCAAGACCACTTAACTGAATGTCTACTCGGATCTCTCATTTGGGGCAGTCATATTTCCTGAGATCTAGAGCATTGTGTACTCCGCGAAGCATTATCAAAGGGGCGGGTAATTAATTTCAATTTGAAAGAATAAGTATGTCAATATATTATCAATACGACCATGGCAACCGCCTCAAAAACCCGAAAGCCCAAAACTAATAACTTTACCTCGATTTTGGACCTGTTCCTAGAAAAATATAGCTTGTCCACCGAATCTAATCCATCACAATTACGTGTATATGCTAGTGAACTCGGTGCTATGTTACCAGATTGGAAAGCTTGTAAAAATGTGAAAGAAGCTCTTCGCCGACGTCAATTCAAAGAAGAACAGATCAAAGCTCTTGTACCGGATAAAAGGAATGAAAAACTTACTATCAAAGAGAGAGCTCAATACTGTGCGAAATCTGGAGATCCATATGATATTTACTTACATGCTTTAGATTTAATCAAGACAAAAAATGATAGTGATGAAGAAATTGTCGCATCCAGCTCACGTCTTACATTATTTCGTAAGGAATTGAAAGAAGCTGGAGTTGATTCTAAAGTAATTGATAAATATGCTAAATTTTCAGATCTTACTCAAGCATCTAACGAAATTCAGAAGAAGCAACTTGTACAGCGATTACCCATTGCGCCTAAAACCCCTAAGCACTTCTCCTTAGAGGAGGGACTTAGAAGAATTCAAAATATTGATACTACTAAAATTCCCACTATGCAGGATCTTGCGGATGTGATTATGATGTTGAGCATGAGACCCGCTGAAGTTACTACTCTTCGTATTATCCATTATGAACCCAATGAAGAAGCCAAGCTTCAAGTTCCCAACTCATCAGACCCTCCGGAATGGTACAAACCCGGTTATTATTGGTATTGTACAGGATATGTTAAGAATAAGGGAGAAAAGAAGGTTGATCCTGAGCCTCGACAATTCCTTTCCATGGAAAAGAATCCAGAACGTGCAAGAGAATTGCTTACTTGGATTCAAGATGCCATAGCAACCAGAAAGTTACATGATCCTGTATATAGTGATAATGGAAAACGCAATATTAGAGCATTTAGCAAATTTTTAAATGCATATGGTATTACTGCCAAAAGATTGAGAAAAATAGGGAGTAAACATGCTTCTAAAGTTCATGGTAGTCAAAATCCAACGGCACAACATCTTAGTTTACTTTGTAGAATTGCAATGAGACATAAGATCAACCGTTTTGATTCTGGAACTTATTATGCTGAGGGTGACACTTCTTCTGATTCCGATACCAATCTTGATACTAATACTGAACCCGAACCTAAATCTCAGCCTAAGAATTATAATCCTTTCGATGCCCAAATCGCAGAAATAGATTCGATGTTAGCAGAAATGTGATGCAATCCAACTTGAATCAAAAAGATCTATAAAGCTATTATATCAGAAACTGATATCGGCAAATTTTTTCTTGATTACTCATCATGGATTGCGGGTGATAGTAGATATAATGGAAATAGATAAATAATCATTAGTTATTTTTTTCTGCTAGAGATATAGTGTATAATATATCAATAGTAATTTTGATTAATATGGTATGGTACTTAACAAGATCCCAGAAGAACTTGATGATCTCCAGACATTGCTTATCTATTTAGAGCAAGTCTTGGACGTGGATCTAGATAATGAAAATCTTAAAGTAAAATTTGTTAATGGCCTGTCATTAGAGAATGGACAAAGTCCAGAGTCCCCGACTCATATGTTCCTATTTCTTGTGAAATGGTGTTCCACACCTGGCACTAACTCCACTATAAAATATGTATATTTCTGAATTGGCAATAATAAACCTCTGAATGAAATAATCGAACGTTTAAAAAATATTGAATTACCTCATCCAGATAAAACTCCACGCCATTGCAGATTACGCAAAAAAGGATTTCTTAGATCCATTGAATTTTTTTACGCAATGTAATATGCAATGTCCAGATCCTTCATCAATGCAACAATGATTTCTACAACATCCATACTTATTTACTATATGTTTTATACAATAACCACCTCCCCATGGCTCATGAAACAATTTACCACATTCCTGACATTTATCAAAGTAATCTAGAAATTTACTATTATTAAGTTTTTTTACTAATTTTTTTATATAACGAAATTCACTTGTTTTTTCGTAATCTCTAGGTATATCATCATCCGAATCAAGGTACTTCACTGAAAAATTAATTCCGGCATCTTTCATTGCTTTAAATCAAAAATTTGATCCATATCGTATTTGTTATATATTAATTGCAGAAAAGCTAAATTACAATTAAATTAAAATCACGTGTGCCGATCACTTTGCTAGAAAAAAAAATGAATATGACTCGCAGGATGTTTCATTTTGATATTTGTGATGGATGATAGAGGAAGGAATTACTTAATATCAATATAGACTTTGGGTATTCAATAACTACAAAGTCTAAATAAAATACACAACATGGAGCTAGGTTTAATGGCACATTATAAACCATTCCAAATAGATTTTGTCAGAACAGTGGCTACCATGCTTCACACTTTTATCGATTTTTAATCCCAATCGGTCAGGAATGTCCTTAGACAAGACACAAGTATTTTAATTATTGTAAAAATACAAGTTATACGTTATTCTTTATTAACCTAGCGAAATGTCCTTTATGTAATGATTACATAGATTGATAATATAAATAATAATATATAGTAAATAATTAAATTAATATTGAAATGAACGTGAATTAATTGTCACGAAATAAATTAATGTTACGAATGATAATAAAATAAACTACTTGTTTGATCATTGATTTATCATAATTTCTATGACCTTCCGTGATACACGATATCAATATTAATATACAATATTTTTAATATTTTTTTTTCTCACCAGATTCTATAATGTTAAAATTTATTCGTAATAAAGGTATTCGTCTGTTTTTTTTCTCAACAAAGTTTTATGACCTTTTTTTATATCCGTATATTGATAATATTATATTGATAATATATAGTTCAAGAAAAAAGACTTCAAGAACTTGAAAAAACTTTCGATAGAAAAGGTAGTAGTAGCAATTAAATTATTTCTCTGACGTTGACGTTTATGAATTATTAATCGATATATATTTTCTTATTAGTTCCTGAAGATATCGCTACGAATCCAGACGTTGTCAATCTCATTTTAAAATATCTAAAAGATAAAGAAAATGACGAAATGCTGGCACTCATATTTATCTGGAATAACGCGGGATTCAATGATACAATGGTACCAAATTGTCGTAATGGTGTCACGGGGCAGACACAAGCAACTATAATCGCAAATCTAGTCACAAATGGAGCGATAAATTATATGAATATGAATACATTATTTATTTTTCAGAAAGGTGAAGCAATCGGTAATTGGGCCAACAACGTGGAGACAAACTTATCTTGGTATGAAATAATTATACATTTCAAATTCTTTGGCATCAACTTATTCCATTATTCTTTCTTAAAGGGCAAGAAAACAAGCCGGGGTTCCCAATATTTGTCATCAACTCATAAGAATAGGTAAGATTTCGGCGCACACAGCAAATGCAGATGTCGAGGATTATTTATATGTTTTAAAATGAGAAAAAAAGATAAAAGTAAGTATTTGTTTTTTGAAATGAATCGCCACTTTTTTCAAAATCATTATGATTAATAATCCATTTGATAATCTAGCAATTTTGTCAGTCAAACAACTTTTATTAAATTCATTTGTTAATTTGTTAATTAATTTATCATTTTCTTGTGCTTCAATCTGAGAAATATCCCATTTCATTTATTGATTTATAAAAAGAAACAAAATTTTCTTTTCTTTTTGTTTTTAGAACAATTTTCCATTGTTCAAGTAATTCATTTGATTTATTAGTGATTCTACTTGTCAAATCATTTTTATTTAATAAGTTGCATGATCCACTTATCAAGTAATCAACATTCTTTTTCAATCTTTTTTACTTTGATATTTTTAGGAAAAAAAATCCATCCACAAAGAACGTTGGTTTTTTAATCATCCCACGTTGATTAATACAATAAAAAAAAATAAAATCAATTTGGTGTGACGTTAATGTGCAATATGCGACAAGATTGTTATTTTAGAGATAGATGATTGTCTTATTTTTAAATAAATAGTAATTGTTAACAATTTCTTCAATGACTTTTTCTTGGTTTTTGTTATGTTCTATAATATATTTCCTATACAAACAGCACAAAAGTACCGATCCCGTTGAATTCTTGGTTGTTGGACCAGATTGGCATGGACCTGATTTAATGTTAGGAAAACCATGGTTGCAAAAAAATGGCGCAACGATAGATATGTGTAATAACAAGCTTTCTTATACATGATAATTTTGCAATCCCAATTTTCCAAAGCGGGTAATCGACATTCTACTAAAAATATCTATAATATATTTGCCCAATTACACTACGTAGAATACAATTATTATGTGATCACCAGATCTTCTCTGTTTTACGAATAAATAAGAGGTATGTATTGTTGTTGTATAAAAACGATTAAGCTTATTTTTTGACATCGAATGGGGGCCTACCTATCAGAGAAATTATGCAAATATGTGTCTTTGACACTAGCCCCGCTATTATGATTGGTAAAGGTAACGGATCGCCCATAGAAAAACGATTAATGTATGATGTTGTAGGAGAATCGTCCGAGATCGCCCATAGAGAATAGATTAATCCCATTCATGAGAAATATTGCTCCGAAATTACTAATTTATCGATTGTAGTGTTTTGCATCTTTAACAGAGTGACCCATTGAAACTACTAGTATTATAAAACACACGTTATTAGAATGAGTGGTTCAACTTACTATTACAAAATAAATATCGGATATAATCTGACGTAGTATTATGGCCATTTCTAACCTTAAAGCCCTTGCATATAATATCTTAAAAGAATTCGAAGATCCCATTGTCAGTGGTAAGGATTTATCAGAGCTGAACTGTTCAGAATGCGACAAGAAGATTATTTCGTCTCCTCATATCAAATCTTTCACAACATTGAAATGTGGACATACGTTTCATAGACTTTGTCTCGAAAAAAAGATTTTACTTGCTTATCCGAATGTATGTCCTTATCCCAATTGCGATGAAAAACTTGACCTAATAGAATTTCCTAGGCGTGATTCTGAGTCGAGTGGAGTATAAAGTCTTTGACCGTGACTTCTTCGTGAAAATTGGAAGGAATTCCGTTAATATATTTGAAAGAATCTTTCTTAGAGGTTGATAGTTGAGTAAAGGAAGAAATTTAAATTTGATAATCCCTCCGCATAATCAATCAGATAATCTGTATGTTGTACGCGTTTGATGGGGCTGTGCAACAAAAATTATTTCTAGATTCTCTTTTTTTTAGTACAAAACATGTCACAAACCAGGTCCAGTGGTAGTGAAAATTCAGAACATCTACACGACCCAGACTTTCTCAGCAATTCTGCATCATCATTCAATACTCGAGATGTTCGTTCATTGAGAGTGAGTTTCTGCTCAGCTACGCAAGCGAACGAAGTTATTCCTAATAGAAATGGTACGTTGTATCAACATTCCTCTTAGCAAACTCAATACTTACAACTTAATTTCATATAGTCAACATTCCACAAGAATACATTCTCCCAGGTGTCAACCGTACCGTGCTCGCAATGGAAGAGCTAGATATTGACCAATTATGTCAAAATGATCATGATTATGTTAAAACATTCATTTACAAATTGCACGAAGTTGTCAAGAATACGAAACTTGTTATAGGAACAAGCGAAGCTTCTACTGATACATTGGTAGCCAATTTAATATTTTGTGTTATCGAATTTGATAGATGGCCCTTGGTGGTTAAGTTAGTATTGGTGGAAATGTCTTTTGTTTATGATATACTTTAATAGTTTCTTAAAGATTGCATTACATTCAAACTTAGATTACATCCATTGTTTAAATTTTACGTTGGAAATGTAATTTTGTCAGCAAAAGCCGAATTTGTAATTAATTATAGAAACTATTCTTTATTGGTCGTTGAGGTCTGTATGTTATTGATTGCTTGACAAATGCGTATTTTTGCTAATTCAAACAATCTTTTTAATAGGATAAACATCTAAATAACATTAGGCCAACCAATGACTATGGGGAACCCCAAATAGGTGCTGAAATTCTTGCTTGTGGGGATGAAAATATACGTCAAGCTCGTGAGGCTTTTAATATGACTATATTTGCAGTTCGTGTGGTTTCCACTTATGTTACGTTTTACCGTGCTACGATCAGTAAAAGTTATTGGAATGAACTTGCTATAGGTTGCCCACGACAGCAATCAATCACAGTTTTAAGATGGCCAGGGAATAGTAGTGATCCAATTGTTGGTTTTGATCTTGC